GTAAGAACACCTGCCAAAACTAGTGGACAAGTCAGGGCAAGCCTGATAGCAGAGCACACCTCCCTTTTTGTAAACCCTGCTTTTTACTGTCTTTATGTACCGGTGGCCTTGCAGTGTAACCTGAGATGTCTTTACTGCCTTTGTGTAACTGATAGCCGTGCAGAGTAACCTGCGGTATTCAAACTCCGTCAGCAACCCATGATGTCACCCAGCCCTCCAGTCATATGTGCCACCTCTGCCTCTGCGTCTCCCCGCTCACTTTCCCTCTGTAAACCCCGCCACCCCGCCAGGCGGGGCTCTGGCTCTTTAGGAGAGATCTTAGTCAGAAGCCCACCAGTGTAATAAACTGCCTCTTAGATCTTCTCCATGCCATTTCTTCCTGTGTTCGGCCTGTTTTCTGCAACATTACCAGCAATTCTGCTCCTGCATATACCAAAAGAATTAAAAACCAGGGACCTAAGACTCAAACCAGTATTTGTACACAAGTGGTCAATATCTAAAAAGCTTTAACAACCCAAATGTCCATTAGCAAATAAATGACTGCCAGGCATGGTGGTGGATGCCTGTAATCCCAGCACTTGGGAGGCTGAGGCAGGAAGATCATTGCGAGCTTGAGACCAGCCTGGGCTACAAAGTGAGCTCAAGGCCAGCCTGAACTGCATAGTGAGACCCTGTCTCAAAAAGACAAAAAAAAAAAAAAAAAAAAAAGACAAAAAAAAGCACCAGAAAATACACAAACTATAAGCCATGATAGATACACAGGTGAGGAATTATTAAGGGAAAACTTAAGAATGCTAGAACCGTATTTAAACCCCAAGTCTGTTCCTGCTGGTTGCGGAACTGTTTTTGGGATTATTCTGCGAGCCCATCTGAGCTTCTCTCCGGCCCCTCAAACCGGAAGAACCCAGTGAGAAAGAGAGGCACTCACCCAAATAGCCTGCTGTCTGCGACTTATACCCAATAAACGCCCTGTCCTGCAGGTCTTCATTCAGGTCTATGAAGCCCCCAGTCCAGTCCTTGGCTCCAGCGGCCCCCACGACAGCTCGGCCCTGTCCAGGGAAGGAGAGGAGTGGGGCGGGGCCCCGCCAGCTGCATCCCCACCACCTCCGCCCGAGGGCAGGGCGCGCAGGCTCCCACACACCTTGTGGATATCTGCGCTGATCCCGCTGGAGGACAGCTCCATGTCGAAGGTCAGGTTGTGTTTGCTCGTCCCTGAGGGAGAAGAGGCAAAAACCCACGGAGTGGTGAGGACAGTGACACGCACAGGACGGTGGAGGGAGCACAGCGTTTACCTTGGGGCGAGGTAGACACTAACGAACCTTACAGTCACACAGGCCAGCGAAGCAGTCAAATGCTCTGAGTTCCCCAAGCTCGGTTCCGCCCCCCTCAGTGCACCCAA